AAGTTACCCCCTTTCACACCCGTTTCTGATCCCTAAACCACAGAATTCTACACTAAGTGTAGAATTCTGAGTGTAGAATTCTGTGTCCCTAACAATATTCTCCCCCCTTCACAGACACACTTCAGATCATTTAGGAGGCGGGCGTCCGACCTTTCGGGACGAGGGGGATACATTAAACATTTACCTCACTTGGATTTCGAACTTGGTCTCCTGCGTGCGACAGCGAAGTGCCTAACTGCTGCACCACTGACACCCTTGGGAATACCTAATTTGGGAATTTATATTTCGGAAAGAAACACCATAATTTGTGATTAAATCTGTAATATTTTCTTTTGTTTCGTTTCAACTGAAGAGTATCATTAAACATTTTCATGATGTTCCAGTTAACGTCAGTTATCTGGTAAGGTGAGATGTTTGATGTACCCAAGCTAACATGTCCCAAGCTAACATGTCCCAAGCTAGCATGTCCCAAGCTAACATGTCCCAAGCTAACATGTCCCAAGCTAGCATGTCCCAAGCTAGCATGTCCCAAGCTAATATGTCCCAAGCTAACATGTCCCAAGCTAACATGTCCCAAGCCAACATGTCCCAAGCCAACATGTCCCAAGCTAACATGTCCCAAGCTAACATGTCCCAAGCTAGCATGTCCCAAGCTAGCATGTCCCAAGCTAACATGTCCCAAGCTAACATGTCCCAAGCTAACATGTCTCAAGCTAACATGTCCCAAGCTAACATGTCCCAAGCTAACATGTCCCAAGCTAACATCTGCGTTTTCGGGGTCGCCATTTTCCCGCGATTTTTGCATTTTTTAAACAGAAAAGGCTACTTCATAACATAGACGTGTATTTTGATAATTCTAAGATGTCCAAGTACAGTTATTTCCACGCGAATAATAATAAGAACATTGCATACTATTTATTATTTTGCACATTTGTCTTCTATTTTCCCTCTTTGTGGGTGTGTTAGTTTTTTGGGGGCTATTTTTCTTATCTATTTGTTGGTGTGTTTATATAGCGTAATATCATTTCATTTGATGTTCCTACATTTAAAAAATAATATAAATGTGTAATGTTAGAGCGTGTCTCCACCAAAACTGAATACTGAAACTGGCAGGCCCCTTGTGTGTGATTTCATAATTTACATGAAATTAGGGTTAAAACGGTCAATCTTCGGAAATGTGGACACACGCCCTTATTTGTTACTTTTTGTGGTTGTGGTTGTTTGTGTGCTATTCTAATGTTGACACGTTTTTACACTATGTGTGGCTACAAATAATATTCTGGATGCTTAAAACAGAGCACAAGAAATTCTGGTGCTTTAGATTAAGTTATCTCTATCAATTTATTACGTCGTCAAAGCTAGTTGAAAGCTTGAAAATTAATGGCAACTTTTTTGGCAACTTTTGCCATTTTTGTGGCAACGTTTGGCAACTTTTGGACAAAAAAAAATGTTAACTAACGCAGCTAGCCCAAGGAGCTTAAAACTGTAAACTTCTTGGATGTTCCTAAAGTAGGAAGGTATTTTAACGACTAGCCTTTAAATTTCAAATTGATTGACAATGTATGGCACGTTTTGTGATAACACAATTTTACAATGATTTAAAAAAAAATGCTTATGAATAACAAAATGTTTCGAGACTGGATAATAATCCCAGAGATAAAACTGAACACAGAAAAAAACAACAAAAAGAAAAAAAACAAACAACAAAAACGGTTTTTTAAAATACTTTTTCGGGTGACCTTCGAGTACGTTTATAGATCCTTCCTCAAAGTTCATTCACTTTCCCAAATCCCCAAACATCATTATTGATCTCGCAAACGTTAGAATAACCCCCGCTTTTATTTGTAAGCAAATTCAAGCAGAATACCAATTACGGAATACATGTTGGAAATCTGTCAGTTAGCCCACACAAAGTGTTTCTAATACTAATGTAAATACAGCTGTGGCCTGCTCTAACCGAACAAACACTTTGATTTACTGACTAGGGCTGGGCAACGAGTCGCTTTATCGAAATCGGTGGCCTAGTTGTTAGGCTCTCGGATTCGCTATCGTAATTAAGGTCGTGGGTTCGAATCCCGTCAGGGGCCCGAAGTTTTGTCCTTGGGAAAGGCACTTTGCACATATTTTCCTCACTTCAACGAGGTGGAAATGGGTACCCGGCTATAGACAGTGAACGATCTTGTCAGTTTGATATTGTTTGAGAGCGTAAATCCGCAGCTTGCACTTTATGCTTCCGTGGAAGCCGAGAATGTTTCTGAGTGTTCTCAGAGGGTCTGCTGGGGGTAATAATAGTTGTAAAGCGCATAGAGCATGCTCTTGAGTCTTGAGCATGGATACGCGCTATATAAATGCAATTATTATGATTATTATTATTATTATTATTATTATTATTATTATTATTATTATTATTATTATTACTATTATTAAACATGTCAGTGCACCTCTTCGGCGATTAATTAATATAATATGATATGAACTACGTCGGCAAATGGGTTAGAACCGTTTTCGACAAACGGGTTAGCATCACTTCAACAATTCTTGGTGCACCCACTCAGCAAACGGGGTATAAAAGAGAGTTTAAGAGTCTGAATTTGGATTATAATGTTTCGTTGAGAATTTTCCGGTTATCCGGATAGTTTATCCGGATTTTGCCCACCACAAATACTGACCGCCCGCTTGTTTGGCAGACGATAAGGGGGGATTTCCGAGAGAAACCTTGAACTTTGAACCCTTGGTTCATATGGTAGCTGACTGGCTGAGAGGAGGAAGCTAGGGTGATGCTTTTATTGATGACGCGCTAAAACTACGAAGCAGTATCATCATCATCATCATCCAGTGCCAGATCTGCGACAGACATCGGCGATCATGGTTCTCCATTTATTCTTTAGCTCGGATGCTCTAAAAAAAAGCTACGTTTACCTTATCTTTTCCTGTTACCCATTTGTTTAGGTTCCCAAAGTACAATATAGGTTGCTCTTTGCCTATCCCTGCCTCGTCTGCCTTCAATTTGGCCAGTCTGAGCTAGATGTTGGTGATACTGTAAGAAAAAAAAGAAAGAACACGCCACACAGAATTTAGAGAACCACTTCTCCCACTCTTGTCTGAAATCCTGTTATTCATAACCGTATCTACAATAAATTGGTTATACTCTAATATTAATATAAAAAGAACATACTAAAAAGAAGTTAGAAAAACACATGTCTGTCTGAAGTTACGTTTGATCTTAACTGCAACTAAAACTGGTGTTACTTAATTTATCAAAAAGGACACGGTGCACAGAATTTAGAGAAACCCATGTCTCACCTTTCTTTTTTTGGTCCCATGTCCTGCTTTTGGTGCCGATATTTGTACCTTTCGTAAAAATGTATTGACAAGAAAAACAAAACAAGAAAAAGGGGAACTGTTTAGTTGATGATGATGATGATGATGATGATGATGATGATGATGATGATGATGATGATGCTGGTAGCACGTGCTAAAATTATGTTGTTCATGATCGTAACTACAATTGATGGACGATACTGTGATATGTAGCAAGGAAAACACTATACAGAATTTAGAGAACCATGACCCCAACTCTTATCTGGAATGATGGTGTTCATAACCGTATCTATAATATGTGTCACGACATGGTGGAATCAGGCGCTCGTCACTTCTTGGTAGTGCTGGGCGGCTAGGTTTCCGATTACAAGTATTAAAGGCTAGGAACCGTAGGAATCGGACTCCGAACCCAATTACTTACGTTCTAATGATGTGATTTCTTCCGGTAGTTACCAGGTTGGCTCCGAACATCTTCAGGATTTAGGATAACCTTGATTTTTGAACACTACGATGCACCAACTTTTTTTTCTTCAAAAATTAATTTATTTAAAAAAAGAAAAAAAGATTTCAATGATTTAAGTAACTGGTGACTGTTGGTTTACGTAAAAAGGAGTCGGAACTTTTCTTCCGTGGTATTAATCGCTGGAATCGGTTCCGGACTCGATTCTTCGCCCAGCTGTACTTCTTGGGCATGTGGAGATATTGGCATCATCTGAAAGCCTGAACATTTGCCTTGACTTCGATGGAAACCCCCCCCCCCCCATCTTAAATAGAAGTTGAGACTCTCTGATTGAAAGACACGGGGTTGCCTCCTGGTTTCACGGGTAAAATTAACGAGAAAATGGACCTAAAAGTTTTGCGACTTTCAAAGCTTGAGAGTCCTTGGAAACTGAAATTTTACATTTTTTGTGCCTTTAATCAATGTTCCTCAGAAAAATTAACAATGTATTCGTGTCTTTAAAAGGACATAAAAGTTGTTAAGCCACAAAACAAAAATTCGATAAAAATGCCAGCTACTTTGACGAGCACCTCATTTCACCACGATGCCTAAGACATGGTCGCTTTTAAGGACACGCTGGCTAACCCAGATGTCGGGGGTTTCCAGAAATCTTGACCTACACGAAAAGTGGGCATTGCCCTACCTATCGGAGAAGTTTGGTTTCATCGATGTGTATTTTTTGTTTGGTTATAGAGAAAACTCTCCTTGTCTTTTAAAGGAACTGAACAAGGGGCAAAAACTTTACCTTCGATTTTCTCAAAACAACATTTTTCGGTATAGCCCCCTTGTATTTAAAAGCGACCATTTATTTTTAATATGTGTTTATTTAATTTTCAGACACGTCATCAATCTAGAGCGCTTTTTTATGCTGTGGTTGGGGGGGGGGGGGATATGTTTTTTTGCGGCCCCGGGGGGGGTCAAGTTGTTCAGTTTTTCTTTTAGTCGAAAGACACCCTCTGCAATGACCCTAAGACACGCGTAGTTTAGAGAGATAAAGAAATCGATCATGTACAAAAAGGTAAACCCTGATCTTTTTTTACGAGGGCACCAAAACACGTCACAAACAAGATCTATGGCCGCACACGGAGGCGGACATCGTTATCATCGATACCTTTAAAGTTTAAAGCTCCTCTTCTCCAACCCTCCCTCCCCCAACACACACACACACACACAACCCTCCCCCCAGTTCCAACCCCTACCCCACAACCCCACCATCCTTTTGTTGTTGAAGAACGTGAGGTTAGATGTGTGTTTGGACGTGTGATTGTGAGAGAGGCGTATGGTCCAGACGGTGTGCAACCCACATTTCTGAAAATGTGTTCTGCACAACTTAGTTTTATTACACCTATATTATCAAACCAGTCGTTGTTGACACATGCTATTCTCACTATTAGGAAATGTTTTGCAATCGTCCCCCTTCCAAAGAAAGAAAAAAAATTACTGAAATGAATGACCTAAGACCAATAGCCTTAATATCCGTAGTTATAAAATGTCTAGAAGAAATTGTGCTAAAAAGACTACGAACGTACATAGAACCCACTCAGGCCCCTCCACAATTCGCATATTGTCACTGGAGAAGTGTGGAAGACTCCATTCTACTTCTACTATTTCTTGACAACATATAGAGACACTTAGACAAGCCTAAAACATACTGTAGGATCCTGTTTATTGATTTTACGTCAGCCTTTAATACTATCCAGCCAGTTATCCTTTTAAAGAAATAAGAAAACGTAGGTGTTAACGTCAATTTAATATCATGGATAGGCAATTTTCCTTACCAACCGAACCCAGTATGTAAAATTAAAACATTGTTCTCCGACATACATCCCAACAAATACAGGGGCCCCTCAAGGATGTGTTTTGTCACCAGTTTTATTCACACTATACACGAACGATTGCCAAATAAACAAAAGTAACTTTAAGTTGATAACATTTGCAGATGATTCAATTATAATTGG